CATGCCGTTTTGAGAAAGTTAAAAAAAATGAAAATGTAGTTAAATTTAACTTAAGTAACACATAAAATTAAACTGTCAAAAAACGGATTTCGATAACGTCTCTAAAATACAATTATAAAAAATATATTAAACTTCTCCCTCTTCCTTAGTTCCTTTTTTTATATTAAACTTCTTCCTTTTCCTTAGTATTTTTAATGAGAATGAGAATATGTGTATCGTAACATCTGAAATTATGATATAAATATTTTTAGATATAACTTTTAATATATACTTAAAATCTTCTCTTTTCGTTCTTTATATTATAAATATTTTTAATAACTGTAAATATTTTATTGATGAATTAAATACCAAGATTATATCAGGATTATACAGTATGTCTCCGGACTGTCTTTACAAGAGGAAAAACTTTTTTATTATTGACATTTTGAGAAAAATGCGTTCTACATATAAATGTTTTCTTGTTTTAAAATAGTTAATCCCGTTTATACTAAATATATAAAAATCAAAACGCGTTTCCATGGTAATATAATTTCGTTTTCAACCTTTGATACACTGTTATTGATAGAAGTTTAATTAATGTCATATTTTTTGCTATTCTAAAATGTTAAAGAAACACAAAACTTATTTAGTTCAGTACTACGGAAAGAGTGATAATAGTTGAAATGTGATAGTTTAACAAAGAATAATGGCATTCATCAAAATTAATAATAACTATCTATCAAAAATTAAATCGAATTGATATTACCATAGAAACGCCTTTTAATTTTTCGAAATTCAAAGACTCAACCATATTTTCACGACTTTTTAATTTCCTCTAAAATGGTATGGAAATTTGGAAAAGTTTAAACAGGGAGTAACCATTTTAGAATAAGCAAATTTTTTATGAAGAATGCATTTTTCAAAATGTCGATAATAAAAAGTTTATATATAAAATATAAAATGAATTCAAAAGAAGAAACAAACTAACAAAAATTCAAATACATCAAGTAACGCATAAAATAAAACTGTCAAAAAACGGATTTCGATTTCCTCGCTAAAGTCTCTAAAATACAAATATAAAAAATATATTAAACTTCTTCCTCTTCCTTGGTTTCTTTTTTTTATTCAGTAAGAATATGTGTATCGGGGCATCTAAAATTATGATATAAATATTTTTAGAGATAACTTATAACACACAAAATTTATTTAGTTCAATAATACGGGAATTTACTTAAAAAAGTTTTACTTAAAAATGTATATTTTTTTACTCAGCAGTTTTATTTTTTTTTAAGTTATTACTCTTCAAACCAGTTAAAAAATATGTAGGTGGTGCCCCCTACAAGTAGGTGTCATATTGACATCGAAATAAAATTTCCCGTGCCAAAAAACTCCTAGAAACCAAGTCTCATCCAAATATCGGCATTAGTTCAGAAATTATTTCGAAAAAATCAAAATAAAAATTAAACTTTTATACCCTGTATCTCCGAAACGAAGCGTTTTAGGGCATATATTTATACCAACTTTTTTGCTTATTTTCTTCCGCTGAATATGCTGCCAAAGTTTCTCGAATACAATTCGAACCACCCTGTATAATAAATAAAAGAATACAAAATAGTGGCCTCTATTATACAAAAAAAATAACGAAATGAATTTGAAAAGTTTAAAAAATAACATAATTGTAGCTGTACAAAATTATTCCTGGTTAATCAACAACATTCGTATTTTAAAGTCAATCTAAACTTTTCTATAAAACAATAATTAGTAAAAAATATCCAGTTGTAAATAGTCAATATTTTGACAACAATTTCTCCCGATTTGCCGCATCAGCGTTACATTTTATAGAGCTTTTCCACCTTACCTTCCAGCTATTTGAACCTGTGGGAATACTTATTATGTTAAAGTTACCTTTCGACGTCAAAATCGATAGTTCTGATAATGTCGCCAAACCCTTGACGGAAAAATGGCTCAGCGCCAAACGTTTTCCGAATGCAAGGAAGATTTATAACGCAACAAAGTTTCTGTAAAGGAAGTTTACGACTAAATATGCTCGTTGATTGAATACCTTTATAACGTTGGACATTAAAATATGCAAGCTTAAATTTTTCGTACAGAATATTGTAAATAGTATAATTATTAATAATAATATAATAGTATAATAATTTTTACTTCTGATCATTTGGTAAACAAGATCATTTTCTATAGAATATAGTAAAAAAATACAGATGACGCCATTTAAAAATCAAAAAGTGTAGTCATTTCCGGTGAAACAGGAAGTGACAGAAAACAATTGAATACGTCAATTAATCCTAATTTATGACATATACTAACATACCAAATCTCGTTTTTTTAACTGAAAAAATAAAAGAGTTATAGGGGGTGAGCCACTTTTGAGACGCAACCGGTGTATTAAAAGGTTTACACAGACAGATGAGTTTTGCGCTTTTTTTATGTTACATACTTATATGCTCGTGTACTTTCCATTAGTAATAAAACAAAATAGTGAATAGATGGAAAAATATAATTACAATATCTGTTTCATAAAATATTATTAATCCGCACATAATTCATTAATACCTAATAGTAATTTTAAGTCAATTTTTTACAATATAACACCAAAATGCATTTTTATTACTTTAGATGCTATAAAAACTACCACCATTAACCGATAATTAAAAATATTTAAATATATTAAGATTTAATACACTGTAATTTATTACTAATTTCTAACAGTGAAATTTACTACTAGTATCATAACTTCATAACATATGATACACACATACTATTTCATTAAAATATAAAAAATAAAAATTTGTAATAAATATAATTCCACATTTTAGATGACTGTACTAATAGAATAATTGTTGAACATGTATTTTTTAACTACCTAAAACAGTTACTTTAGTAAAACTGTATCAAAACTAACATGCCAGGCATTAATAATTAAAAGCAAAAGAAGTGCATTAAATTGAAAACTGAAAAGTAAATAAAGAACATGTGCCTAAATATTTTTATATAAACGCAACTATTGTTGTACTATATTTGTATTTTATATTTTGTTCTCTTAATAAATAAGTTATTATTAAAAACTTCACTTACTTTGACTTTAATATTTCAACTTGTATCTTAAAACTTGAAAAAGTTAAATAATGCAAAAAATTTCACACTCATAATGCAGTCACTAAAAAGGGTAGGTTTACGTTATGAGTAGGTATTATAATATTATTGTATCTATTCTACTATTGTGGGAGATACATGATTTTGTCATAAATATGATGCAGGTTTTAACCAAAATTTTAATTTTATGTCAACTACAAGCACTATAAATATGTCATAAAATATACATTTTTTCCATAGCAACTGTTAAAATTGTCTTATATCTTTTAAAAATAGAAGTTAAAATAGTACTTTAACCGCAAGGGTAGATTAAATAATACTTTAACAGCGAGGATAGATTAAAAACTTTATTTATTCACGCACGTTTTTTAATTGCTTCCATTTTTGAAATTTTTTGTATTCCTTTTCATAAGTTATTCGAGATTTAAATAGAAGTAGTTTGGATATGGCGTTTGTCGCCTCAGCCTGAATATCTGTCGGTAATTTACTTATTTCGTTTTCAGCCATTTCTGGGTCCAATTCAATCAACAATCGACACGAAAGAGAATTAAAAAATATTGACTCAAAACTGACTACTAAAGAGACAGCTTTATTTATTTGTCAAATTACATAGAAACCAACACCAACCCAGCACAATATTTTTTCTACTTGTAATAAATTCCTTAAAATAATAATTCCTGAATATTTTTTAAAACGTAACTCGCTATGGAAAAAAAATATTGTTTTATACACGACGATAAAATTGCATTATCGCTTTCCGAAATTAATTCACTCGCGATTTCATCGCTCGTGAATTAATCTTTTCGGTCGACGATAAAATACCATTTTATCGTCTTGTATAAAAAATAACTATTTCTTGCAAAGACTAAAGTAAAGTCTCAACATACTGTAACACGAGAAATGTAATTAGAGAACGCTTTTCGAGTTTCATCGATGTTCCAGATTAGTTTTAAATCATCTCCTAGAGGAGATTACATATATGAAATGCCATTAGGAGTCGGGAGCTGGAAGTCTGCCAAAATCAACAATTCAAAGCCGCTCGTTTGCGCTCGTCACAATATTATTTCGCTAAAGATTGTGGAAACAAAGGAGAGCTTTCTGGATTTATATAATTTCCTTTGCACAAAGACTTTAAGAATTTGTGGAAGCTGCATAATTTCATTTAGGAGTACTGCTCTTAATATGCCGTGTAACCTAAAACATTCCATATAATTTTAAACATGATGAATAATGGTTTCTTATTTTATATTAAAGAAAATTTTGTATACAACTACTTAAAGAATTCTCATTAAAATGAAATTAACACTTCGTTTTGATTAGTTTCTACTAAGTATTTTTTTTAAATTATCAAGAAAAGATGACCCAGTCCTGAATAAACGAACACACAACATGTTATCAATATCATATCATAATTTTCCGCTTATACAAGGTGATCCAGCTTTTTTTAGCGGTGATTAACCCCCTCCCAAGCTCGTTCTCAAAAAGGTTTGTGGTTTGATATATTCTCTCCAATTTCTTTAATTTTTCGAAACTCCGAATTCTAATTCGAACTCTAATTCTAAACCAAACCATCCCTCAAATAAACTTACGTGCATAGAAATCGACCCACTGTGAACTTTTGGTTTTAACTGTGTCTTTTAGAATCTATTTATCAGAGCAAGTAAAAAATATGAGCTGTTTCAAAGACAATTTAACATGCTTTAATATGAGTATAAAATTATCCAGAGTGCTTATTGTTTATAGGTATAGCAACGGGTAAACAAATGAAAGGTATTTGTATTGTGGCGACAATAAGAATAACAAACTTGTCAAATATTGCAATTACTACCTTTGTAATCGAAATTTTCACATTGCTCTTTTATTCTTTGATTCGTTGTGTTTCATTGTTTGATTAGTGTTTCAATTTAATGCATACCTCACCGGAAAAAGTCGCCCAAGTAATCGCTTTAATCGAAAATGGACTTAAACAGAGAGCTGTAGCTCGGCAACTACATATGACACGCGGAGCGGTTCGAAGAGTGTGTGAACGATATGAGGAGACTCGATCCTTTCGTAGGCGACCTGGAACTGGTAGAAAGAGATATACAACGGATAGTGATGACCGCTTTATTATGTCAACAATGTTAAGAAATCGGCGTCTTAATGCTATTCAGCTGCAGCAACAGCTCCGTGAAACACGAGGAGTGACTATCAGTCAGTGGACAGTAAGACGAAGATTGAAGGAAAGTAACATGACACCCCAAAACGCCCGAAATTTGTCCAAAACTTACCCCAGCTCATCGTCAAGCACGCCTGCGTTTTGCACGGGAACATCTGAATTGGACACTAGAACAATGGGAATCTGTTTTACTCTCAGATGAGACCAGGATTATGCCTCTATGGTAGCGACCGAAGAAGAAAAGTGTACCGGAGGCCAGGTAAGCGATTCGGAGAATGCTGCATTGAGGAGCGGATTGCTTATGGAGGTGGTTCCTGCATCATCTGGGGTGCAATTTCTATGACTGCGCGAACCGACCCAGTTTTCATCCGTTGGGGCGACCATCGGAACGGGAGAGGAGGTTTAACTGGTGCTAGGTATATTGAGGAGATTTTAGCAGTTCATGTGGTACTTTACGTCGACTACATTAGAAACCAATTCACTTTTATGCATGACAATGCGAGTGCACACACATCAAGAATAGTACACGATTACATTTCAGAAGTCAGTTTTCGAGTTATGGAATGACCAGCATACAGTCCAGACCTAAACCCGATAGAACATTTATGGGATGAGCTAAAACGAAGAATTCGTGCTAGATGAAGAACCCCAACTTTTATCCCAGAGCTTATTGTTGCAGTAGAGGAAGAGTGGCTTAACATCCCGCAAGAAACAATATCAACTTTGATCGAATCTATGCCAAATCGTATGAGAGATGTTGTTAGAGCAAGAGGGGGTCATACCCACTATTGAAAATTTAGTTTAGTTAATTGTCCATAAATATTTAAAAAAATAATAACATACCTCTTAGTAATAAAAAACGATAATTTGTTTCATGCATTAATTTAATAATTTTAATGCAAAGAAACCAAAATACAAATTAATATCTCTAAACTCTTTTCAAAGAATATGAAATTGTATTTCAAACAGCATATATTTTTTCTTAATCTGACAAATAGATTCTAAAAAAATATATAGTTAACTTCAAAAGTTTGCCTTGGGCCGATTTACATATACTTACATAATACACGCAAGTGTATTACAATATTTTTTATTTAAAAACCGGTGAGTTTTTCGGAAAAACTCTTAAACAAGTATATTTTATTTTGTTATTTTACATATTTTAAGATTTTAAAAAATTTATACAAGGTGTTTCATAAAATATGACCATTGAGTAATCACGATTCTGCTTAAACTGCTTGACGTTTAAAGCTGATTTTTGGTAAACGGATTGACTGTGGGGTGTAGAGGTTTGATAAGGAGGGGTTTCTCAAATCTCAAATTCCAAGAGGGTGAAAACGCCCCTCAAATATTATAATATTTGTTATTTAAAAAACGGTTAGTCTTTCGGGAAAACGCTCGGACAAGCATAATTTATTTGTTTTTTTTTACATATTTTGAAATTTTTTAAAAAAATCATACAGGGTGTTCCAAAAAGTTGGGTAATTTCGGTAATCACCATTCTGCTTAAACTGCTTGACGTAAAAAGCTTATTTCTGGCAAACGAATTTTTCGAAAGTCAAATTCCAACGAGATGAAACTACCCCTCAAATATTACCAAGTTATATAATAATATCGCCATATTGTTTTTTCTCATACTGGCATAAATGTGAGAAAATTTTATCCAGTTTGTATGTTGATGGAAATTCTTGCTTTGCTATATCATCACCAGTACAAATGATTAATTCGACGCGAAAGAAGTCGCGGATACACGCTAGTTTCTTTAATACAATATGCAAGCAAGTAGCGCACATTTAAACATGTTTGCCAATACATATACAAGATGTGTTGTATACAGGATGATTGGTACTACCAAAGTTGTATATTTTTAAATGGAATTCTAAAAAATATATTTATATATCTCAATTAAACTTTTAGTTGCGTAGTCGAGAGTGCGATTTTTAAATTCATTGTTGCCAACCATGGACATATTCGGCGCCGGGCTGACTAACTGGAATTTAAATTTTCCGCTGTGGATTCAGGTGGCAGCTCTGCTGTAAAAAGTGTCTAGTTGCCACATTATATTTATTTCCTGACATTGTCATTCGTTTTGACACTTTAGTTTTGTATTACGAGTTTTTGGTTTAAATAAAGAGTGTTGTGATATTTTAAGCCTAAAAATGTTAATTACCAGACCTTGCAGTCAAACATTGTTTTTTTTTAAAGCTTCTTTTAGTTCGAAGTGTAAGGAATAACTTAACAGCCGTAAAAAACTCATCGCAATTTTATTAGAATATTTTGAACGGGAAAGCGGTAGTGATGGCCCTTAAGTGCTGTTAAGAAGGTGAGTTTTATTGGTGTAAATAATGTTTACTCTTTATATATTTATAATTTATTTATTTATGTTTCCTAAAATATTTTGATTAAAAGAAAATATCTAAAAGTGGGCAACGCTGTGCCGGTCGAGCTTAATCACATGACTAGAAGTTTATTTGATATGAACTTTATATTTTTAGTTCTGTGGATTTGCCATTTAATTTCTATTCCAAAAATACCATAGTCCCGTAGTGTGATATTTTATACCAAGTAGTTTTTGCAATATAACCAATTTTAAACTCATTTTAAAACATTTTTTAGGCTCTCCCAATCGATCGATTTTTTTTATTATTTTTAACACAAATCCAAATTAATATCTGGTATACAAAATTACGAACAACACATTCTTTTAATTCCTAAAAAAAGAATTCATAAACACTATTCAGAATTAACAATTGCACATCGAAGCTCTATCAAAGAAATTAAGCGCTGCCTGTTTTGCGCTAAGATCAGTTTCTAAGGAACTACTACTTATCAACCTCTAGAATAGCCTATTATGCCCTTTTTGAGTCACATCTTCCACTCTGGGGTACTTGCTGCGCAACAAAATTTGATCGTATTTTCAGACTTCAAAAGAGAGCAGTTCGATATTTATTGGGACTGAACAGTAGAACTCACTGCCAGAATTTCTTTAAAAATTTCAAAATACTGAATCTTCCTTTTTTATTCATTTTTGAATCCATTTGCTTAATCCGCAAGCACATATCTACTATTCTCGAAAGGCCATCTCATAACTATCCACTTAGGAATGCGGAGCACGATCTTTATCTACCAACCCCGAGCTCAGAACTGGTTAAGAGTTCAATACTGTACAATGCCAAAAAATGTACAATCTTTGTACATTTGTACAAAAAAATGTACAAGCCTTTGAATACCAAGTCGCTTTCATTCTTTCCCGCATTTCGCAAAGCTCTAAATCATACTTACTGGAGGTAATGCGGTAAACGATTTTTTTGTTGATGTTTAATCATGAACAATTTTGAATTTTTAAATTTTGATCATCTCACACACTGGTCAAAGATCAAGTTTTTAATATTTTATAACTCTTAAAATTATACCTATTTACATTCTTCCTATTGTAAAATTTTATTGATACGCCTTTTTTGTGTTGTGTGTTCTTTTTGTAATTGTAATGACTTAAATTTTTTTGAATTGTATGATTTGTATTGTATATTTTTTATTATTTGTATATTTTTTGTGCTTTTGTTTGTTTTATAAATGGTTTGTCGATAAAGCTATTTTGGCTTTTTGCACAATAAAGCGTTATTTTTTTGTTGTGTTTGTTTGTTAACAATTCAAATAAGGGTCTTAACGTTGTTAAAATATTATTTTGACAAACAAAATGTTTGAATAATTATCATTTAAATCAATCTCAATTATAAAAATTCACAAAGAATTACTTTCTCGATTTATATAATTTGCTACGAACAAAGAACTTAAGAAAGAAATTATTGGAACTGTACAATTAAATTTAAAAGTTTTGTTAAATAATATCGGGATATGTCCGGAATGTTAAGTAAAAATATTTGATTATAAAACTTTTTTACTTAAAGTAATCAAAAACTTATTTATATACTCAACGACGAAGGACGTAAAGAATTGATGAAAAGATATTTTTTTATTCCTCGGCAAAATTTTATGAATTATTCTTCTTTGCTGATTGCGATATTTCATTCTAGCAAATTATGTTCAAGCGGGGCGTTTTAACTGCCATTTACCTTCATAGAACCATGCTAGAGTCGAAATCTAAAACAAGATTACCCCAGATGGGTAGAGCTCAAGTCTCAAAATCCCATCCCGCTACAAATCTGGGCAGCCTCACGGATTCTGGGGGAGGCAAGAAATCGACAGACTACAACAAACAAAAACGAAAACGGACACAGATTATATCCATTGCCACTTATAATATTAGAACGATGAGAAAAAATGACCACTTGAAAGAATTAGAACAAGAACTGGGTAATATTAATTGGGACATAGTAGGCCTATGCGAAACAAGGTTGCAAGGAGAAAAAATGACAACTCTAAATTCTGGACACGATCTGTTTCAAAACAACTCAGAAACAAATCATAGCCAAGGAGGAGTAGCTTTTATTGTAAACAACAAATTCAAACACCTCGTCACTAAATACCATTCAGTATCAAATAGAGTGATATATCTAATAATACGCGCGCGCGCTTAAACCAAAGATACAGTATCCAGCTGATACACTGCTATGCACCTACAAGCTCAGCGAGCAGTGAATTGATTGAGGAATTATATGAAGACATTAGCCGGGCTAGGAACCTTGAAAATACACATTACGTAATCATAACTGGAGACTTTAACGCCAAGATAGGGAAGAAGCAACCGGGTGATACAAACTACATAGGAAACTTTGGTCTCGGGGAACGGAACGACAGAGGAGACATGCTTGTAAACTTTGTCAACAACGAAAAATTATACTGTATGAATACTTTTTTATCAAAAACAAACTCAGAAAAAATAGACATGGCGGAGTCCAGACGGACGAGTAAAAAATCAAATAGACTTTATCCTCACCAACAAGAATACAATCTGTAAAGATGTCGATGTGTTAAACAGTTTTCGTACAGGAAGTGACCACAGACTAGTACGCGCCAAAATACAAATTTATACTAATATAGAAAGAAGAAAATTAATTACCAGGTCAATGTTTCCTACAAGGGACGCTCTACAACTAAATCAGGAAACCTATCAAAAAGAGCTTGAAAAGAGACTAAAGCCACAGACACTCAGAGATCAAGACCCCAACGACATTCTCAATAATCTAAGGCAGGGCATAACTACAGCAACAAAGAAATATGTAATAAAATGAAACACCCTTC